TGTTTGCAGATATAGGTTAACTAGATTTAGTTTAGGGCATAAAAGGAAACTTATTAAAGAATTTGTTGGAGGCCTGTATTACTTTTTCTTGCTGAGATGGATGGTTAAAAAAATATATGTATTGGGATCTAGACAAAGGGAATGATGACGTTTGTGTGCGTACAGTGGAGCTGAAGTCTTAAGACAAAAGCATCTAATGGGCAGTGGAACCTGAAATAGAGTGATGTTTGTATCCCTGTTGTCCAATACAGTTCCTGGTACTGAATGGCTGCTCAATAAACATTTGTTGAATGAATGTGTGAGTAGTAGAGCTTGGTTAACACTTTCTGAAAGGAACCTAATTTTGTCAAATTAAAGTTTAAAAATTAAAATGACAAAAATAAAAAGTGACTTCCATTTCCTATGTAGTTAAGGTTTACAAAAAGATAAAAATTTGAAAAATAAGCAGCAAAAGGTACCTGGGTAGAATCTTTACTGCTAGACTATATAGTGTCAACAAAAAGAGTCAAACTCTGTAAAATATTTGACAAGATTTATTCTGAGCCAAACAGGAGTGACCATGGCCTGTGACACAGCCCTCAGGAGATCCTGAGAACAAGTGCCCAATGTGGTTGGGGGTGCAGCTTGGTTTTCTACATTTTAGGGGGACAGGAGACTTTGGTCAAATACCTTTAAGAAATACATGGGTTTGGCCTAGAAAGGTAGGACAACTGGAAGCAGGGGGGTGTGGGTGGGGAAGCTTCCATCTTATAGGTAGATTAAAAAAAATTTCTGGTTGACAATTGTTTGAGTTTATCTAAAGACCTGGAATCAATAGAAAGGAACGTCTGGGTTAAGACAAGAGGTTGTGGAGACCAAATTTTAATCATGCAGATGAAGCCTCCAGGTTCAGAGAGAATAGATTATAAATGCTTCTCATCAGATTTAAAGGTTTTTGTTGATGTTCAAGCTGGAGAGGTATGATGAGGCATGTTCAACCCCTACTTCCTGTCATGGCCAGAAACAGTCTCTCAGGTTAAATTTTTAAAGAGCGCTCTAGCAGAGGAGAAAGTACATTCAAATGGTTCAGGAACCTTGGTATTTTATTTTTGATTTAAAATAGGAATACATTGCACATTGGCCCTCTTCATCATTCTTTGGAGTCAATACTTCATTTGATTTAGTTCCTCAATCCTTTTCCACTACCCTTCTCCCATTCCCCTCCTCTTACCCTATTCTTCCTTTTTCCTCTTCTCCTTACCCCTCTCTTCCTTCCCTCTTCCCATATCCCTACTTCTCCCCGTTTCCTCTTCATCCCTCCCTTCCCCTTTTTATCTGTTCCTTCCTCTTCTTACTTCTTGCCTCTTAGTACTTTGAGGTGACTACCAGCAGTTCCTTATGAAGTTTGTGATGTAGTGAGTGTGGGTAAAGAAATATAGCTCGTGAGTTGCTATAGGCCAGATCTTGAAGGTCCTTGTGTTGACACACTTTTTCCTTAAGTTACGGGAAGATTTTAAAGTAGAGAAGTAGTCTCGTCTGATTTGTGCTTTAAAAGATCACTTCAGTTGAGGCTGTAGTGAGCTGTGATTGTGCCACTGTACTCCTGCTTGGATCATAGAGCAAGACCTTGTCTAAAACAAACAAACAAAAACACGACAAAAAGAAATTTGATCGCACCTGTAATCCCAGCACCTTGGGAGGCGAAGACAGGTGAATCATTTGAGGCCAGGAGTTTGAACCTGGCAACAAAGCGAGACCACAGTCTCTACAAGAACTAATTAATTAATTAAAATAAAGGATCACTGGAGAAACTTTTTTTTTTGAACTTATAAACTTTTTATTCGCCAGCTTTCTGATTTTTTTTTTAACCATTTATTTATTTTATTGCATTTTAGATTTTGGGGTACATGTGAAGAACATGCAAGATTGTTGCATAGGTACACACGTGGCAGTGTGATTTGCTGCCTTCCTCCCCATCACCTACATCTGGCATCTCTCCCCTTGCTATCTCTCCCCAGCTCCCCACCCCCCACCGTCCCTCCCCTATTTCCCCCCAACTGACCCCAGTGTGTAGTGCTTCACTGGAGCAACTTTTAGGGAGGATGGATGGTTTGAAGGATACCAGCAGCAACAGGGAGACAGTAATATATATATATATATATTTTTGACTCACTCTGTCACCCAGGTTGGAGTGCAATGGTGTGATCTTGTCTTACTGCAACCTCTGCCTCCTGAGTTCAAGTGATTCTCCTGCCTCAGCCTCCCGAGTAGCTGGGGTTACAGGCACGTGCCACCACACCTGGCTGATTTTTGTATTTTTAGTTCAGACAGGGTTTTACTATGTTGGCCAGGCTGATTGAACTCCTGACCTCAGGTGATCCACTCACCTTGGCTTCCCAAAGTGCTGGGATTACAGTCGTGAGCCACTGTGCCCTGCTTAGACAGTAAATTTTTATGAAAGAGTGGTTTAGGGGGCCAATTTGGCTGGTGCATTTGAAAGCTGCCTTTAGAAAGCAAGCACATATTAATGACATCAAATGTTTTAGGGGATTAAATGCCTGATGAACATCAACTCACTCACTCCCCTCCCAACCCCTTTCGAACTGCCACTGTGGGAAAATCACTTAAGAGGCTATTGTGGATATCCAGGCCAGAGATTATGATAGCAGGAACAAAAAGGGCAGCAGTAAGAATAAGAACAGGAAGATAGTAGAAAATAGACTAATCATAACCCGGTCTCATTGACACATACGGAGGGCAGTGAATCTAAAGTGGCTTCCTGGTTTGGGACTCAGGAAGTTTTCATCGGACAAGGAAAGCCAGAATGGAGGAGGTTGTTTGGGGTAGTTGGTTGGAAGGAGACAAAAGATTAGCTAGTGATAGGGCAAAGGATCACTAATCAGAGTAGAATAATTTTTTCTTGAGGCAAGGCAGTTGTGGAGAGAAGGAATCATACAGGACGTCAAGTGGGATGTGTGGGAGCAGGCAGTGTAACTACCCAATGGGTTCACCTTGCCTGCTGCCTAGACAGAGCTGATTTATCAAGACAAGGAAATTGCAATGGAGAAAGAGTAATTCACGCAGAGCCAGCTGTGCTTGAGACTGGAGTTTTATTACTCATATCAGTCTCCCTGAGCACTGGGTGACTGAAATTTCTAGGAATAATTTGGTGGGTAGGGGCTCAGGAAGTGGGGAGTGTTGATTGGTTGAGTTGGATAAGGAATCATAGGGGGTTCTAAGTGAGTTTTTCTTGCTATCTTCTGTTCCTGGGTGGGATCGCAGAACTGGTTGGGGAAGATTACTGGTCTGAGTGGTGTAAGTGAAACTGAGAAAGTTCCCCTATCCCCCTGGCAGGGCATACCACAGGGAGAATGGTTCCTTTCTTCAGTGCCCCATGCTTAAACCTCTAGGGGGAGCATGCATACGGGCAGGCTGTGGGGCTGCGACCCCTTGGCAACGTCTAGAAGTAACTGTAACATTTGGCAGGAGTGCCTCCCCTCACCTAGGTCCCTGAGCACAGACCCAAAAGGTAGAGCCCTAGCCAGAGACCTGCCTTTCTCTACCCAGCACTTCGCTGCCCACCCCCTCCTGTATCATAAGCTGGTGCATCTGAATGCAGGGTCTGCAAAATACATGAAGCACTGATCTTAGGTTTTACAACCATGATGTTATTCCTGGGAGCAATTTGGAGAGGTTCAGACTCTTGCAGCTGGAGGCTGCATGGCCCCTAAGCTGTAATTTCTAATCTTGTAGCTAATTTGTTAGTCCTGCAAAGGCCGACTGGTTCCCAGGTAAAACGGCTTTTTTTGGGGGTGGGGGAGGTGGAAGGAAAGGGCTATTATCAATTTTGTATCAGAGTTAAACTATAAACTAAATTCCTTCCCAAGGTTAGTTCGGCCTACACCCAGGAATGAACAAGGACAGCTTAAAGGTAAGAAGAAAGATGGAGTCAGTTAAGTCTGATCTCTTTCACTGTCATAATTTCCTCACTTACAATTTTTGCAAAGGCAGTTTCCATAGTACCCTGTTTCCTGCAGTCTGCCTTCCTTCCTTCCCTTTTTTTCTTATCAAAGTTATGTATGTACACAGTTATGTATAAATAAGACATGTAGCATATCATATATAATGTATTACTTATAAATAATATATTTAACAATTACACATGCATTAAAAATAACATAATATACCATTTATATTAACATATTACTTGATTATATTAAATATAACTAAATGTTATATTAATAGCTTATTATATATCATTTATACATTATAGAAATATATATAGCACAGAAGGGCTTAAGATAAATAATAGTCCCCTGATGTATCATGTCCTACCCCTACCCCCGTCTCTAGAAGCAACATCTTTGAACCCTTTGGGGAATTTTTCTGGTGTGCATATCCCTACCAGTAGACTTTATTTATTTATTTATTTACAGATGGGGCCTTGCTATGTTGTCTAGGTTGGTCTTGAACTCCTGGCCATCCTCCTTCCTCGGCCTCCCAAAGTGCTGTGCTTATAGGCATGACCCACCACTTCCAGCCCTAGACATCCTGTTTTAAACAAGTGGGAAGATGAATGTGTGTGTTAAAATTCTCGATGAATCCCTGGTTTCAGCAATAAATAATTTCTAGAGCATTTGCTATGTGGAAGACACAGTTCTAAGCGTTTTGGATGTATTAGACATTTAATTACAAACTGGATTGCAAGGATTAACAATAAAAAGCAGGAAGGCAAAGACAATGCTCGACCTTCCCGGTCAAAAACCATTACCGGTAACCAGCAGTAAAAACGGGGAGCTCAGAGGCACTGAAATTGCCACCGGCTCCTTTAATTCTCCATAGCGGATGGGTGAGGCCAGGTCCACCCACATTAAAGAGGCTGAGTGCTCCCATCGCCCCGCCCGCGGCGCGGAGCCAGAGCCGAGGCCATGTGACGATGAAACAGCCGGCACTCTGGCTTTCCCGGAGCAGTCTCTATGGTATTCTTCCCAGCCCGCCCGTCCCTTTGGTAGCGACAGTCACGTGACAGACTCCGGGTTTACGGCAGGTGCCCACGTGATCCTGGCCTGCAGTCGGGTGGCTGCGGTGAGGTACCTGGGTTCCTGAAGGGCGGGCGGTTAGGTTTTAACCACCGTCGCCGCCGGCGGACTCTCCTGAGTTGCCGGGCTAGGAAACAACGGCTCAGCTGAGGCGTTCACCGCTTAGTGCCTACGTCAAGGGTCAGCTCTTTCTGCTGCCTCCGCGGTCCCCAATTCTTTGCGGGTGAAGTTACCTTTGGGTTTCGAGACCTTGGGGCCTGAGGCCCAAACTTGGGACGAACCCTTAGCTCACCTCTCTTTTCCTGTCATTCTCTAACTCTTACTTTGTACCACCGAATTACTTGGCCTTTGAGCTAGCCAGCGCGGCCGTGCCTTGAGGCCAGGTTCGGGGCGATAAAGGTAACCGTGGGGAAGGCGGCCCCCCAGTGGACAAAGGCGGAGGCAAGAATAGAGCAGTCCTGAGGGCCGTAGGCGATGAGAATAGGCGGTTGAGGGGTGAACAAGAAAACAAACAACCCCCCCCTCCCCCCAAAGAGTACTGAAGATTTAGAAGGGACTGGAAAAGACTTGTTGCGCAATGGAGGACTCTGACTCCGAGAAAAAGATGGAGAAAGAAAATCTGGGGCCGAGAATGGATCCTCCTCTAGGGGAACCGGAAGGATCGCTTGGGTGGGTGAAGGGTATTATGTCAAACCTGGAAGTGGGGGTGTTCTAATTGAGGAGAGTATTGTGAATTAGAAAACTTCTCCCCACCCCACAATGATAAATTGCTTCGATATACCAGTAGTGTTGATCGGTGGTATGCTTTTGACAACAGGATAAACTGGAAAGCAAATTGGTGCTAACTGGGCAGAAACAACCCTTGGGAAGGGGCTGATATTCCTGGTGGTGGTGCTGGGGGAGTGGTCTGATTAAAGCAGTCGAGTTGCTTTGAATTATCAGTAAAGGAGATTTCCTGTCACCAGTTTGGGGATAGACTAGGAAGAAGATTTGCATTTCCAGGTCAGAGAGCAGTGGTTTTGAGGGTGCTTTCTGTGCCAGTTTGTACCTGAATTTGAGACTTGTGTTATATGTACCTGTGCCTGTGATGAGTGAAATAGGGGTTGGAAGGACAGCTGAAGGACTAAAAAGATGCTTCTAGATTTTAACAATAGGAGGCTGAATGTTTTTTAGAAATAGAGGATATTCGATATTCAATCCTCAAATAGAGGATATTCAATATACTCTTACATTTTAGAAATAGAGGATATTGTTTGATTCATTAAAGCAGCTGCGTTGCTTTAAGATGATGAAAAATTGAATCTTGAATTTTAATGGCTCATTTGTATTCCTAAATAAATCTTTCTAGGCCCTATCTCTTGAGCTTCTATTTAGGAGATAGGAAGCATAAACACAGTTTTATAATTTAAGAAAATGGGGCCTCTATTCATCTGAGGTCCTCCACACAACTGTTGTTGTACTGAACATGCTTTTTGTACCTCCACGTTTATTTATATTTCATTAATTTCAATTTCTAAGGGAATTGGATCATGGAAACTGTCTTTTGGTTTATATCTGCAGGTGGGTGCTACCAAATACAGCCATGAAGAAAAAGGTAAGACTGTTAGATACATCAAAACTATGCAGGTAAAGGTAAGAAGTTGATATTCAGGAACTTTGTGATATATATATATATATATATATACACATACATACACACACCATCTTTTCTGGACTATTGCAGGAGCCTTCTATGTGATCTCTGTGACTCTCTTCCCCTTTTATGTTATGAAATTTAATTTTTCTAATATGGAAATCTGATTGAGTCATCCACATACTTAAGAACCTTTAGTAACTTCTCTAAGCCCATGGAATAAAATCCAAATGACTTCATGGCCCTTTAAAAATCTGTTACTGACCAAACCCTCTGCCACACGTATGCACCCTATCACAGCCATACAGAATTTACTTTTCTCCAGATTTACAAATCAATTTGTACTTTGTGTAAGCCATATACCACACATTGTCCAGGCCTCTGTCTGCACGTTTATTTTTAACCTAACTCAAATGTTACCACTAAAAGGTCTTATGTGAAGTCTTTAGATGGAATTGGACACACCTTCCTTTGTGCTCTCATAGTGCTGTGCCCCACATTGGGGTTTAGGCAGAATTGCTAAGAGTGTAGCTCAAGCTAATTTCTTAACCTTTTGGGGCTTCAGTTTCTTCATTTGTAAAATGGTAGTAATAATATTAACTGTATCATAGGATTGTTGTGACGTTTAAATGAGTAAATGCCTATAGAACACTTTGATCATTATCTAACATGATTAGCCTTGGTAAATCTTTCATAGGGTATTGAAAGAGGTACATTTTATAAATTAAAAACCAAAGGAAATATATTTAGCCTTAGCTTCATCTAATAATTCAGTTCTGTAACTACAGCTTGCTAAGGGAATGTTCTTGATGAGCCTGTCCGAAGTTGCTTTCATCAAAAATGCCTTAATATACCAGAAATTTCTACATGAATAAGAACAAAAATTAGCTTGATTTAATCATTCTGCATGGTATACATATATCAGAACTCTTATAGTACCCCCTAAATATATACAATTATTGTTTTTCCATTAAAATTTTAAAGAACACAAGCAAACTTTTTGTGGCAACTTTAGACTGGCTCAGCAGTAACATTTTGTTAGTAAGATAAAGTTACATAAATTGTTAGATTAAATCAAGCCTGAGTATAGTATATTTTCATCAATACTCCTTATATTTGTAATTAGAAATTTTTATGAAATATCTTGGGATTGAAGGTAGAACATAAATTCCCTTCATTTGAAAAGCAAGGTAAGGCTGGGCACTGTGGGTCATGCCTGTAATCCCAGCACTGTGGAAGGCTGAGACTGACAGATTACTTGAGGCCAGGAGTCCAAGATGAGTCTGACCAACATGGCAAAACCCTGTCTGTACTAAATATACAAAAAAAAATTAGCTAGGCATGGTGGTGCACGCCTGTAATCCCAGCTACTCAGGTGGGGTGGCTGAGGCATGAGAATCACTTGAACCGGGGAGGCAGAGGTTGCAGTGAGCCAAGATCATGTCTTTGCACTTCAGCCTGGATGATAGAGAAAGACTTGGTCTCAAAAAGAAAAAAAGAAAAAAGACAACAAAAACAAGGTAATTAGAACTATATTTCATAAATTCTAGATGTGAAAGGACTCTCCAAAGTCACTTTACTAAATTCCCTTTTAGTACGAAAGTATAGAGCATCTTTGACAAGGTCTCTCTGTGTGAGATGCCGACATTCATAGGAAGGCTGCTTACCTTCGTGAGGCTACCCTTTCCCTTGGACAATTCTCACTGTCAGATACTCTTTTGCTTTATATATTTGTTTTGATATCTTGCTTGTTCTTTTGATGTACATGCTTTGAGCATCTGTTATGTTAGGCATTGGAGGTACCAGGGGACTCTGCCCTTCAGGAGCTTACAGTCTTCTGAGAAAGAGACAGACCCCCACAAAATAAGTGATTGCAATGCATCATAGTCTTTGCAAGGAAATAACAGTGCCATGGCAGGACAGAAGACACTTGAATCAGTCTAAAGCATTAGACTCAGAAAAGCTTCTTGAGAAAATGATTACTGAACCAAGTCTTGAAGGATAACTACAATTTAGCTGAAAGAAGAAAGGAGAATAAACAGCTAACTGTCAGAGAGTACTGCACGAAACAACGGCACAGATGCAGGACCTCCCAGAGGACTGGGAACAGTCAGAGGGACTACCAGCAGTTCAGTTAAGTGTGGCTGTAAGCTATAAGTTCCAGGCCAAGAGCGACAGGAGATGAGGGATGAGAAGTAAATAGACTAGATCAAGGAGGGTCTTATATGTAGTCTCAGGACTTCATCCTGCAGGCCATGGGAAGGTTTTGAGAAGAAAAAGGAGGGACAGAGTAATACATGGAACAAGAGCATAGAGGTAAATGGAAGGGATGAAATCAAGGGCACAGGTGGAAAAGTTGACCTTGAGCAAAAGGAGGAAGAGCTTTCAGTTATATTGCAATCCTTTGCTAGGTAATTCCATTAATAAAACATTGAATTATGAGAGAACAGTGTTTAGCTTCTTCTAATGTGGTATTTCTCTACTCTTTCTGAACATATTAACAGCGCGTGTTAGTAGCATAAATTCACTGTAATTCTCTCACCTAAAGGATGTTTGTCCTGTGATAGGTAGGTGCCTGGCTCCTGGAATTCTAAGTATCTCTGCATTTACCATTGGTTGAGAAGAGTTTAGTTCTAAATATCCACACCAGGTTGTTGATACTGTCATTTCGGGAAAATATAAAATCCAGGAGACAAATAAATCCCTTTAGACTTGATTTGCTCTAGATTGTTAACTTGTTTCCTTTCTTTTTCCCTACTTTGTCCTTAGGTGCTGTTGATGGGTAAAAGTGGGTCTGGTAAGACCAGCATGAGGTCTATTATCTTTGCAAATTATATTGCCAGAGACACACGTCGCCTTGGCGCAACAAGTAAGATGTTTTATCTTATTGTAAAGTCAGGTGATCTTAACTATTAATAATCTGCATAACACACTTGGTTGCAGTAGCTTGGGGATGCAGAGAGGTTGAGGGATTTGTTATGGAGCATGTTTACGCTTTTTGCGTTCGTTCTCAGAGAGGTGTGGCCTAATTCCAGTTAACTACTGCTTTTTCTCTTGGGGGAGGTTCTTTTCTTTCTAGGTTGTTTATGAAGTAGATTGCCCTTGTCCAACTTTTTGTTTATCCTGCTATTTCTTAAACAAGCATTGTTTGTTCGTCTTGGAGGGGAGAGTATTTTTAACTGTTGTACAAAGGGAAATCCATAGGTATTAACAAGCATAACAGTAAAATATTCTAAGATTTTTTTAAAGCAGTAGTTACACCTTATCGTCGTTAAAAGGTAAATTACAGTGGTGGGAAGGAAAGAGGTTAACCTGGTTGGTACTCTGCTATTTCTTTTCCTGGATACACATAGATGATCTGATTAGAGTTTTGGCTCTGACTTGGGGAATATGTTATTGCCTTTTATAGTTTGAGTGTTAGAATAGACTAATTAGGCTGCCATGGACAGTGAATGTAGGATCCTGGGAGAGCCCTTCTGTCTCTGGGTTGTACTGCCATTTCATTCTGCAGCATCCAAGCATTTCTGGATTCTGCATTAGTCCTTGATTTTTAGGAGCAGGCCACCCATTACTCTATACAGTTTCTGAAGTTTCAAGAACAACAACATTTTAAAAACACATTATGTTTCAGACCCTAGGAAATAAAGGGAGAGGAAACCTCATTTCTGTTCTTACGGTACTTGGAGTGTAAGTGTAGACTTTCATAATTGGGGCAGCTTTGATGACTAGAAAACTGTTTCTTGAATGTATATATATATTTTTTTTACATGGAGTCTTGTGCCCTTTTGTCTGGGCTGGAGTGCAGTGGTGCAGTGCTACCTCCTGGGTTCAGGCGATTCTTATGCCTCAGCCTCACGAGTACCTGGGATCACAGGCACCCACAACCACACCTGGCTAATTTTTGTATTTTTACCAGAGACAGGCTTCACCACGTTGGCCAGGCTGATCTCTAACTCCGGACGTCAAGTGGTCTGCCCACCTTGGCCTCCCAAAGTGCTGGCATTATAGATGTGAGCCATCGTGACTGGCCTATTTCCCGTTTTCTTCTGTTAGCTTATTCTCTTTCTGTTCTCTTAAGCCGCTAAAAATATTTGAGGATAGTCAGTGTCTCAGTTTGTCCTAGCTATCTGTTGCCTCACAAATCTTTTTTTTTTTTTTTTTGAGACTGAGTCTTGCTCTGTCATCCAAGCTGGAGTGCAGTGGTATGATCTCGGCTCACTGCAACCTCCACGTCCCGGTTCAAAGGATTCTCCTGCCTTAGCCTCCCAAGTAGCTGGGACTGCAGGTGTGTACCACCACATCCAGCTAATTTTTTTTATTTTTAGTACAGACGGGGTTTCACCATGTTGGCCAGGCTTGGTCTCGAAATCCTGATCTCAGATGATCTGCCTGCCTCGCCTCGGCCTCCCAAAGTGTTTGGACTATAGGTGTGAGCCAACATCCTTGGCCATCTTGCCTCACAAATCATGTCTTCCTTAAGTCAAGCATGTCCAGCTCTTCCATCTATTTCTCTTTTGACATATTTTGAAACATTTTTAAGGATGTGTTCAACTTGTCTACATTTTTCTTAAGGTACTGAGACTTGAATGCAGGTGGAGTCTGATCAGGACAGAGTGGGCCTATCACATCTCTTATCCTGGACATTGCATTGCTGTTAGCATGGTCTAACACGTATCTTCCTTTTTTGGAGTAACTTTTATTATGCAGAGTCTTACCAAAAAACCCAATTCCCTTTCATGTATGTTGTTATTAAAACACATACTCTTCTGACTCTTGTGCATTTACTATTTTGAATCAAAGAATACATGCTTATTTCTATTAAATCATTTAGTTTTGTTTTAGCCCATCATACGTTCCTGTACCCTTTGTTTGTTAACTGTGAAATCCAGAACGAGTCCAATCTTTTTTTTTCCTTTATCCATTAAAAAAGGGATTGGATCTTATTTTCATTTTAGCTACTGATTCTCTTATCTGATATATTAGCTATCTTTCCTAACTCTAATATCTGACATATTAGCTATCTTTACTAACTCCATGCAGTTTGTGCCTTTGATGAATATCTCATCTAGTTTTCATCTAAGTTATAGGTCAAAAGTTTTGGTCAGGATAGTGTCCTATGGCCTGTCATGCCTCTACAATTGACATCTGTGACTCTGGCCTCTGGAAAGTCTACCTGTCCAAACTTCTCTCTGTCTTGATTTAATAGATTAAAACTCTGTTTCTTTCAAGTTAAATATCTGGGCCTAATTACCCTGATGGTTTCAGTAGATTAGAGAAAGCTAACAGTTATGGAACAACGGCTATTTGTCAGACTTTTGTGTACTCTTTTATTTACATTAGTTCTGATGTTAACTTCATTTTATTAGAGAATAAAAAAGGAAGTACAACTTAGAAGTTAATATCACTCCCCTAGGAAGTGTTAGAGCTGGAATGTCAATCTATGCTCTTCCTTTATTCCTTATGCTACATTCTGTCTAGCTTACCTTCTGCTAACAATTCCTGGTAGACTTACTTTTCTTTCTGTTTTAAATTCTGCACACTTTGTTGAAGCACCTTTTTTCTGGTCCAGCTGCTGTTGATGTTCTTATATAGCTGATCAGCAGAGTTGACTAACCCTGAGTCCAGAGAATAGTCTTGCAACCAACATTTCAGAGCTATTCAAACTGCTTAAAATAGTTTTGACATAACCTAGCAGTCTTATTGTGAACAGAACTTTGCAAATTATATGAACCCTATACATTAAGGCAAACCATTTATTCAGCAAGTATTTTTTGGAACTTTTTGTGTAGCAGGCACAAAGAACATGACAGAGCTCTTGCCCTTAAGAATATCTCAATTAAATGGGACCTTTATTACTAATACTTTGTTGGTAATTATTGTATCTCCTTACAGGTAGTGAAAGTATACTTTAAAATATTATGTTGGTCTTAAGGCTTTAGGATATCATCATTAGCTTCTCATTGCTAAAGAAATACCTGGGTTCTATTGCTAAACTTGTCATTTAGTTTGTCATTGCTAAAGAAATACCTGGGTTCTATTACTAAACTTATGGACACGTTCAGTATAGTGCATTGCTTTTTACTTGATAGTCCTCTTTATGTAGTTGCTGATTTTCTTTAAAAGTAGTAAGAGTACTTCTAAAATATTACCTTGACTTTAATGTTTTAGTGTTTTTCTAGTTTCTCATTGCTGAAAATAGTCCAGTTTTATTTTGTTAAACTTAGAGCCTACTGTGTTTTGAAATTTGAAGTAAGAATACATGATGGTGATATTATTAATTCATTAGGGGGCTGCTAAATGTATTTGTTGGAATAGTAAACTTGTCAATAAAAATTTTTATGAAGTATTTTAGTCTCAAACACTGTTGACGGCTCCAAGATTTCCTACCTTCTCAAAATTCTCTGTTCCCTTGGCTTTTATTTAATGCTCTATTACCCTGGTTTTCTTCCTTTATCTTTAATCATCCCATCCCTCTTTAAAAAAAAATCTTTATCACAGTATTTTCTTCTTTCTGCCCCGTAAGTGTGTGTCATTCCCCAAAGCTCTGTTCTTGGTTCTTTTTGGTTGTTCTTGTGACAGTAGGGTAGGAAGACTAGGAGAACTAGAAGGCCATATGTGAAAGGCATGAGACTAAAGAGGGAAGCAGGAAGTGGGAAGTTAGATCATAAAATGTATTGAAAGCCAAGTTAGGTAGTAGGAACTGAGGGTAGAGAGAGTTTTAAACAGAAGATCAATATTTTACAGGTCCCAGGGATTAGGGAAATGTTTGTTTGTTTTTTTTTTTTTTTTAAAGCAACATGAACAGATTTATATTTTATTATTTTTAATTTTCAGTTTTAATTACAAAAGTAGTACTTGTGAAAAATTCAAACGTTACAGACGCATAAAAAGCTTCTTTTCTCCCTCACTCTCAGGCCCGCTTCCTAGGGACAACCACAAATAGTAGTTTTGAGGTTATCCTTCCGTCCCTTTCTTTTCTGGATGTATACATTCATGCATATGCAGAGAGACATGGTTTTTTACTGTTTAAAGAAGAATAAAAATCTGCATTTTGGAGACATCACTCTATCTGTAATATGGAGGATAGATAGGCTGGAGGGAGGCAAAGCTAGAAACAGGTTGATCAGTTTGGAAACTATTTTAGTAGACCAGATAAGAGATGATGGGGGCTTGATTTGGGCTAGGATGATGATAGTGGATGTGGTGAGAAGCAAATGGATTTGAGATCTTTTAAGAGGCAGAGTCAATGGGACTTTCTGGTAGATTTAGGGAGAATGAGGAGGAAAAAAGTGGACTGAAGGATGAAACTGAGCTTTTGGCTTAGGCAACTGGTTGAATTCACTGAGATAGAGCAGACTGAAAGAGGAATAGATTTTGTAGGAAGAAAGGGGAGTTGATGAGTTATGTATACTTGGATACATTGAGTTTGGGATACTTGTGGTTTATTCAAATGGAGATTTGTAATATATGTTAGCAAGGTAGGAGAGAAATCTGTCCTAGAGATACCTATTTCTGAGTCATCAGTGTCCAAATGGTAAATAAAATAATACGAATAGGCTAGCTTGCCTTGGGGAAGGTGGCCAAGGATGGAGTCCTGAAGAATTCCAACATTTAAGGGACAGAAAGAAGAATAGGAGTTGTAAGGGAGGATCTGCCAGAGAAGTTGTAGGTATGATATCAGAGACCAAGAGAAGAGAATTTTTTGAGAAGAAGAGAGTAGTCAACAGTGTCATGCTGCAGAAAGTAAGACAAGGACTAAAAAGTCCACTGGATTTGGTTATGGGGCCATTGGTCACTTGATGAGAATAATTTCTATGATATGGGAGTAGAAACCTGATTTCTATCCCATGTGCCCCATGTCTAAACAATCACTGAATCCTGTCACTTCTTTTGTTATTGTCTTTCCCTTTCTCAGTAGCACTTCTTTCCATTTTTTTTTAGTACTAGACCGTATACATAGTCTTCAAATTAATAGCAGTTTGAGCACCTACTCTCTCGTAGACTCTGTTGGAAATACAAAGACATGTAAGATATGATTCCTTTTCCAAGGAGGGGGAAGTAAAGGGGAGAAGGGAAGTAGTTTGAGCACCTACTACGTGCCAGGCACTTTATGTATGATAACTCATTGAATCCTCATAGTAATCCTGTGAGGTCAATGCTATGCCTTGCCCCCCCTTCTTTTTTAATTGAAGAGGAAACTAATACTCAGAGCTTAAGTGATTTGCCCAAGGTCACACAGAGAGGTAGAGCTGATATTTGAATGAAGATTTGTTTGACTACAAAGCCGACGCTTTTTAAAATAATGCCCTGCTGCTTATGATGTAGTTTATAAGAAGATAAAATTGCACAAAAGTTAGATAGCAGTTAATTTAAGCAACAGCTTTGAGATAGTCATAGGCAAAATATCATTGGTTGATTGATTATCACAAATTGTATAGATGATAATTCCTAGACTTTGATAAATTTTCAGGATAAAATCTTTCATTATTACTCCTTGGGATTTTTAGTGCCTGGCAGAGAGTAGATGCTTAATAAATGTTTGAATGAATTCAGAGGGAGAGATGACGGTAAGTGGGGGTAGCCAGGCAGGGCTTTTAAAGGAGGTGGGATTTAGGCTGGGTCTTAAAAGATGAATATATTTTGAAAGAAAGATGGGGAGGGCTTTCCAGGTAGATGAACAGAGTAGGTGAAGAATACAGGGGAGGGAAGTATAACTCAGAGGTCGCAAACAGGCAGCCTGTATCCTGGATAAGGCCTGTAGATGTGTTTTGTTTGGCCCATGTGATGGTTTCTAAAAATGGGACTTAGTTATCAACATGTAAAAGTTTTCATAAAAATCTGGATTTCCCACTACTGCTGAAAAACCTAAAGATCTGGTAACCCCTCCATTCCTGCGTGGCAAATGAACAAGACCTTAGTAATTGCTGCTCACTCTGCTATTGCATTGGGTAGATGTTTACCCTCCATATGCGGACAACTTTGCTCATATACGTTTACTGGCCTGGCCCCTCTTAGCAAGTTTGCGACCCCTGGTGTAAGGTATTTTGGGGGTTGGGGAGGTAGTGGGGTTTGGGAGTACTGTGAATAAACCAAATTGGGCTGGAGCGAAAGGCTTTATTAACGTGGATCATTGGGGAATGTATAGGTAGATTGAAAGCCAAATTGTGAAGGACCTTGAATGCCTCCCCATAGGCATGGAGGAGCCATTGAAAGTGTTTTGAATGGGGAGTGACATGTTCAAAGTGGTGTTAAGAAGATGAGCCTGGTAGTAGTAGCCTGTAGGATGAAGTAAAAGTAAGTAAGGCTTTTTGGTGGGGAGGTCAGTTTTGGAGGTATTGTAGTAGTGTAGACATGAGGTGATAAGGGGGCTTCCCTAATGTTTGTGGTGGGTTATAAAATAAGGAATGGAATTGAGAGAAATTACAAAGGACTAGCAATGTATTGAATGTCGATAGAGGAGTCAAAAGTGGGAAAAAAATTAGGGTCATTAACTGGAAAGGAAATCAATAGCTGGAGTTCTTTTGGTTATGTTTTATGTTTGGTTTTTCTTACTGTTTTTTAAATGTGTGTGTGGCGGGGGAAGTTGGTGGGGGCAGCTGGAACAGGGAAGATCGATTAAATGGTATACATCTATTACATGTTGAAATATTAACATTAGTATTATAATTGGAGATTGTTTCTGCTCTAAGTACTAAACTACTAAAAAATAAAATGACTTACATGAGAGCCAGTTCTGTAGCTCAGGGTAGTTTAGGTGCCCACCTTGCCACTAAACCACGCTACTAAGCTGAAAATCACCTTCTTCTTGTGGCTTTGAGCATTTCACTCCACTTTGGTCCTTCTAAATTTTATGGGTTAGTGCTTTGCTTATTTTGAATTTTACGACACCCGCTATAATTACTAGTTTGTCATATTTGTCTTCCAGTTGATGTAGAACATTCTCATGTTCGATTTCTGGGAAACCTGGTATTGAACCTGTGGGATTGTGGTGGGTAAGTACTGTCTGCTTACTTGTTTGTTAAGCCAATGTCAGTAATCATGGCATCTAGTATATCAGCATGGCGAATACACCTAGAGTAACTATCATTTATAATAGATTGGTTAGAAATGACTTCAAAATTGATACTTGAGTCAATAAAGATCTCTGACTTTTATGGAATTGTGAAAATGCCCTCTGTATGTGACATATTTAAATAGCACTAATCCAAGCTTCATCTAGGTATCCATAGTTTGGGATTGATTATCCCCTTTTGTGGAGGAATAAATTAGGTTTCTGTCTCAGGCAGCCCACTGCTTAGTTCTTAGCTGTCACACCATACTTCTTTGTTCTTAGTTACAATACTTCAATAATTTTCTCCAGTCAGTCTCAATACTGTGGATCAGATGCTGAGCACATATTCTCTAGCTAAGTTACCTACTTTTTGGAAGAGTAGGAGTTCTTCCTTTTGTAAGAGAAGTATTCACCACATATTCCATGACAAATGTACACACATTGTGGATGTATGCTCATGTTGCTCCCTACTCTATGGCCATTGCCATTGCATCTTTGTGCTGAAGGAGCCGTGTGCACTGCACAGTGGATAGGAGCATAGGTTTTGGAGTTAGATTGAGGTTTGCACCTAAACTCTGTTAGCTGTGTTATCTTGGGTAGATCATTTAAACTCTCTGAGTCACAGTTTCTTCATCTGTACAGTAGTGAAGGCAATGGTACCAGCTCATAGGGTTGTTTTGATGATTAAGTTAGATGACTTATACAAAATTGCATAGCAGAGTGTCTCACAAAATAAATAGATATTGTTAGCTCAGTGTTTCCCACCTCTTCGCATAGAGCCAGCCATACAGTAGGTACTCAATGAATATTTGTTGAAAGAATAATGCAGTAGCTAAATACCCTATAAGAAAATGACTCCATTCCTGCTAGCAGACAGATCACTTAATACCCTAGCACCTATCTCCATACAAATCCTTCCTCATTATTGTTGGTTCTAATTTTCTAATCCGTGTCAAGAGATTAGTCCCTAGTCCCTTGCTTTTAGGCACTAAGATGTGATGATCTTCATTTTTACAGATAAGGCAGCTGAGGTCCAGGGAGATTATGATTCTACCAAGCTCACACAGCTAATTAATAGCAAGGTGCAAGACTAGAACCTAGGTTCCTGATTTTTTTCTCCTACTACAGGATGCTACTGTTTTCTGCTGGCCAAGTGGTAATTGAGAACTTCCTGGAAAGCAGCACTTCGCCTAAGGAGCAAATAGCAACATTCTGTTAAAAAATTACCATTAGAGTTGTTTTAATGTAGTTTAGAATATTTGACTATTGAGTTATTCATTCAGCAAATTTTCATTGAGTACTTAACACTCTGTTAGAAGCCCGGAAACTACAAAGAATAGTCACAGACATGGAACTTGCTGTCTAGGGAAGTGAATGGTATTAATGAAAAACTCACACAAACAAGTGTAATAACTTTTGGTAAGTGTTAGAAATAAGGGAAATGTATTGGTATAAGAGCCTATGCTGAGAGGATTGACCTATCAGGAGGCCATGGGCAGTTTCTGTGACGAAATATAGATTGAACTGAAATCTAAAGATACAAGCAGGAGTTAGCTAGATGAAGAGGTAGGGTAGGTAGCATCTGAGACAGTGTGAACAGCATGTGTAAAGGCCACATAGTGGATAAACCGTGTGCCACTTGAGGAATTGAGAAAAAGTCAGTGTTAGAACATAAGGAGAGGGGCAGAGAAATGGATCTGGTACAGGAGGATCAAAGGGATCTGGTAAGAAACAGAAAAGGGGCTGCACCAAATGGTTGACATGTTTTGCAAAGTTATTTTGTTGGCTCAAGTTGTGGCTCAGGAGGTTTTAAGGCCAGACTTATTTGTTATGATTTGCCCTTTAAAGCCTTAAGATTATCTTTCACATGGAGCAAGCTAACAAAAATAGGTCATAAGGAGGAGTAATTGAACTTAGGATTTGCTTACTATAGATTTCTTTTTTCTGCCAGGCAAGACACCTTCATGGAAAATTATTTCACTAGCCAGCGGGACAACATATTCCGAAATGTGGAGGTTCTGATTTATGTCTTCGATGTGGAAAGCCGCGAACTGGAAAAGGACATGCACTATTACCAGTCATGCCTGGAGGCCATTCTACAGAACTCTCCAGATGCCAAAATATTTTGCTTGGTACACAAAATGGATCTGGTACAGGAGGATCAACGCGACCTGGTAAGAAACAGAAAAAGTGTTGTACCGAATGCTTGACATGCTTTGCAGACTTATTTTGTAGAGATGTAGGTAAATTTGTATCATTTTTTGAGCAATAAAAGGTCAGCAGAAGTTTTCAAAATAAAGTTTTCTTATTTGCTTTAACAAAACACTCTTTTAAACACATTTTCAATGATAAGGGAAATATATTATTTATTAGTATATAGTTTTCAGAATTAAGTAAAGAGTCTGTCCAAGTGATCTCCTCACTAAGCAGCATTTATTTATTTTAAAAATATATTTGCTGCCCCAGTTTTATTGTGCTTCAAAGCAGGGAGCTATTGTCAAGGTTAAGACCCACTAGGAGTGAGATGAAGAGAGGTTGCTGCTTTCATTAGGTTGACTTAGGAAACTGGTATGTACCAGTTCAAGTGCCAACCACAGTGTGTTAGGCACTATGCCAGGTCCCTCATAATTGCACTAATATAGTAGATTTCTCTTTTCTGACATAGGAGTTAGTATACACAAATTTAAACCAGACAAGACACAGTAGGGGGTAATGTCACCAAAATAGTGAAGTAGGAGATACCAGTCTTCATCGCTCTACAAAAAAACAAATATAGATAGCTATCCACATACCAAAAGAGCCCCAAGAAGGCTCAAAGGCCCATTATAGGAAGGCATAGTAGAATGAGTAAACTTTTGCTTAGCTGTGAGACTCCAGGACTGACAAATCATGTAGTCTATCTTCAGTTTGCTCAATATAAAATAAGAGGATTGGATTTTAAGGTCTAAGCTGAAAGAGAAGATCCTCCTCTATTTCTAAGGGTATAACACTAAGGAAAGCAGTTTTAGGACATGCTGGTCATACAGAAGAATACAGTTTCTCTTTGAGTTGCAGTATAAGAATCTAAGGAAATCCTTTAATGAAAGGATTTTTTGGTCATAGCTGCAATAAGGAATACTTTTTTATATGACTGGTTACAGGATTGTCTCCACTGGCTATTCCAGTGTTTTGGTATTCATAGGTTAGCTTATAGGCTTTCAAAAACCATTTGAACGGTTCCATATTTGACTCAGAAAACTGTTTTTGATTATTTAGTGTCTTTTTAGCTCTTTTTACCTCACCTTCTGTCATTATTAATTACTATTTAATACCTAATAACTAATACAGTTTTAATTCAGCAGAAAATCATGTATGTAGCTTGGGTCTTGAGTTTGTGAGGGCCTTGTTACTGCCTTTGTTGCTCTTGCTGTTTTACTCTCCTTTTTTTAAAAAAATCACTTTATTTCCTAGTCAAAATTATAGTAGAAAAACTTACGGCATATCAATAAATGAGCTCCTTTAAATATTTACAAGTATTTTATTCACTTTTAATTTTGTGGTTTTTTTTAGTATTTTTATTTTATTATTTCAATAGCTTTATGTGTGGTTTTTGCTTACATGGATGAATTGTGCTGTGGTCAAGTCTGGGCTTTTAGTGTATTCATCACTTGAATAGTGTACGTTATACCCAATAGGTAATTTCTCTTTCCTCATCTCCCCCTCCATTCCTTCCCATTTCTGTGTCTCCAGTGTCCAGTATACCACTCTGTATGCCTTTGTGTACCCATAGCTTAGCTCCCACTTATAAGCAAGAACATGCACTATTTGATTTTCCATTCCTGAGTTATAAACAGAGATAGTTTGACTTCCTTTTTTCAATTTGGATCCCATTTATTTCTTTCTCTTGCCTGATTGCTCTGGCTAGGACTTGTAGGACTATGTTGAATAGAAGTGGTAAAAGTGTGGCTGGGTGCGGTGGCCCACTCCTTTAATCCTAGCACTTTGGGAGGCCCAGGCAGGTGGATCACCTGAGGTCGGGTGCTCGAGACAAGCCTGACCAACGTGGAGAAACCCCGTCTCTACTAATAATACAAAAATTAGCTACTCGAGAGGCTGAGGCATGAGAATTGCTTGAACCTGGGAGGTGGAGGTTGCAGTGAGCTGAGATCACGCCATTGCACTCCAGCCTGGGTGACAGAGCGAAACTCCACCTCAAAAAAGAAAAAAAAAAGTGGTAAAAGTGGGTATAATTGTCTTTTTCCAGTTCTTAGGGGAAATGCTTTAATCTTTTCCCCATTCATTATGATGTTGGCTGTGGATTTCTCAGAAAGGGCTCTTATTATTATTTTTTATTATACTTTAAGTTCTGGGGTACACATTGTAGAACGTGCAGGTTTGGTACATAGGTATACACATGCCATGATGATTGGCTGCATCCATCACACCATCATCTACATTAGGTGTTTCTCCTAGTGCTATCCCTCCCCTACTCCCCCATCCCCCAACAGGCCCCGGGGTGTGATGTTCCCCTGCCTGTGTCCATGTGTTCTCATTGTTCAACACCCACTTAATGAGTTAGAACATGCGGTGTTTGCTTTTCTGTTCTTGTGTCAGTTTGCTGAGAATGATGGTTTCCAGCTTTATCCATGTCCCTGGAAAGGACATGAACTCATCCTTTTTTATGGCTGCATAGTATTCCATGATGCATATATGCCACATTTTCATTATCCATCTATCATTGATGGGCATTTGAGTTGGTTCCAGGTCTTTGCTATTGTGAACAGTGCTGCAATAAAATACATGTCCATGTGTCTTTATAATAGGATGATTTATAATTCTTTGGGTATATACTCAGTAATGGGATTGCTGAGTCAAATGCTATTTTTAGTTCTAGATCCTTGAGGAATCACCACACTGTCTTCCACAATGGTTGAACTAATTGACACTCCCACCAACTATATAACGTGTTCCTATTTCTCCACATCCTCTCCAGCATCTGTTTTTTCCTGACTTATTAATGATCACCATTCTAACTGGCATGAGATGGTATCTCATTGTGGTTTTGATTTGCATTTCTCTAATGACCAGTGATGATGAGCTTTCTTTCATATGTTTGTTGGCTGCATAAATGTCTTGTTTTGAGAAGTGTCTGTTCATATCCTTTGTCCACTTTTTGATGGGGTTGTTTTTTTCTTGTAAATTTGTTTAAGTCTTTGTAGATTCTGGTTACTAGTCCTATGTCAGATGGGTAGATTGCAAAAATTTTCTCCCATTTTGTAGGTTGTCTGTTTACTCCGATGATAGTTTCTTTTGCTGTGCAGAAGCTCTTTAGTTTAATTAGGTCCCATTTTTCTATTTTGGCTTTTGTTGCCATTGCTTTTGGTGTTTTATTCATGAAGTCTTTGCCTAGGTATTACCTAGGTTTTCTTCTATGGTTTTTATGGTTTTAGGTCTTATGTCTAAATCTTTAATCTGTCTTGAGTTAATTTTTGTATAAGGTGTGAGGAAGAGGTCCCGTTTCAACTTTTTCCATATGGCTAGCCAGTTTTCCCAACACCATTTATTAAAGAAAGAATCCTTTCCCCGTTACTTGTTTTTGTCAGGTTTGTCAAAGATCAGATGGTTGTAGATGTGTGGCATTCTTCTGAGGCCTCTGTTCTGTTCCGTTGGTCTATATATCTGTTTTGGTACCAGTACCATGCTGTTTTGATTACTGTAGCCTTAGAGTATACTTTGAAGTCAAGTAGTGTCATGCCTCTAGCTTTGTTCTTTTTGCTTAAGATTGTCTTGGCTATGTGGGCTGTTCTTTGGTTCCACATGAAATTTAAGGTGTTTTTTTCCAATTCTGTGAAGAAAGTCAATGGTAGCTTGATGGGGATAGCGTTGAATCTACAGATTACTTTGGGTAGTATGGCCATTTTCATGATATTGATTCTTCCTGTTCATGAGCATGGAATGTTTTTCCATTTGCTTGTGTCCTCTCTTATTTCCTTAAGCAGTGGTTTGTAGTTCTCCTTGAAGAGGTCCTTCATATCCCTTGTAAGTTTTATTCCTAAGTATTTAATTCTCTTTGTAGCCATTGTGAATGGGAGTTCACTTATGATTTACCTCTCTATTATTGGTGTATAGGAATGCTTGTGATTTCTGCACATTGATTTTGTATCCTGAGGCTTCACTGAAGTTGCTTATCAGGTTAAGGGGATTTTGGGCTCAGAAAAATGGGGTCTTCTAAATATATGGTCATGTTATCTGCAAGTAGAGACAATTTGACTTCCTCTTTTCCTATTTCAATACCCTTTATTTCTTTCTCTTACCTGACTGCTCTGGCCAGAACTTCCAATACCGTGTTGAATTGGAGTGGTGAGAGAGGGCATCTTTGTCTTTTGCCAGTTTTCAAAGGGAATGCTTCCAGTTTTTGCCCATTCGGTATAATATTGGCTGTGGGCTTGTCATAAATAGCTTTTATTATTTCAAGGTATGTTCCATTGATACTTAGTTTATTGAGAGTTTTTAGCATGAAGGACTGTTGAATGTTGTCAAATGCCTTCTCTGTATCTATGGAGATAATCGTGGTTTTTGTCTTTGGTTCTGATTATGTAATGGATTACGTTTACTGATTTGTATGTGTTGAACCAGCCTTGCATCCCAGGGTTGAAGCCAACTTGATCATGATGGATACGCTTTTTGATGTGCTGCTAGATTCCGTTTGGCAGTATTTTTTTTTTTTTTTTTTTTGAGGATTTTCACGTCAATGTTCATCAGGGATATTGGCCTGAAATTTTCTTTTTTAGTTGTGTGTCTGCCAGGTTTTGGTATCAGGATGATGTTGGCCTCACAAAATGAGTTAGGGAGGATTCCTTCTTTTAGAGTTCGGAATAGTTTCAGAAAGAATGGTACCAGTTCCTCTTTGTACTGCTCGTAGAATTCAGCTATGAAACCTTCTGGTCCTGGACTTTTTTTGGTTTGTAGGCTTTTAATTGCTGCCTCAATTTCAGAACTTGTTAAGTCTGTTCAGGAATTCAACTTCTTCCTGGTTTAGTCTTGGGAGGGTGTAAGTGTCTAAGAATTTATCCAATTCTTCTGGATTTTCTGGTTTATTTGTGTAGAGGAGTTTATAGTATTCTCTGATGGTAGTTTGTATTTCTGTGGCATTGGTGGTGATAACGTCTTTATCATTTTTTATTGCATCTATTTG